TTTACAACTATAAACTTAACATCAACAACTATGCAAACACAAATGGCACGATTTGTTGCACTAATCAAAACACATTTTTATAACTATCAACTAAACATCAACAAATAAAATTATGAGCAAATTTATTCCCAAAAAAAGGCAAAAACATCGAATAACCAGATTTATTCCAAAAAAAAAAAAGTCAAATAACTGGAATGAACAGGAAAAAGTCTGCTTCGAACAACATATACTAACCTCGACGTCTTTCGATTCTTCACAATAGTATGAAGTGGACGCCGGTTAAGAGAGAAGGGCTCACGGTTCTTCAAACTGAAAAAATGGAAGAGAAGGAACTGTGCAAGGAGATCGAACTCTCGAATAACCAGATTTATTCCCAAAAAAAAAAAAAGTGAAAACATCGAATACTAGTAAAATCAGTTGTTGACTAAGCAAATTACAAGAAAGAAGTCGAACAACTAGAATGAACAGGAAAAAATCGGCTTCGAACAACATATACTAACCTCGATATCTTTCGATTCTTCACAATAGTATGAAGTGGACGCCGATTAAGAGAGAGAAGGGCTCACGGTTCTTCAAACTGAAAAAATGGAAGAGAAGGAACTGTGCCGGAGATTGAACTCTCGAAGAGAAGGGCTTTCGCAAATCAGAGAGAGGAGGAATTGTTTGTGCAAGCAAGATTCAATTTTGGGGAAGGAGTCTTTCTTTTAAAGTTCATTTCTCTCACGAGATTTTGGCAAGAAATTGACTCAAAAAAATTTTTTTGATAGAGGAAGACGCCAGTTCAGCAAGTGTAAAGCATTACATAATGTATTGTGTACTTGTAGAACTATAAATATAAATATAAGAACTTTACTAAACATTGTAAAAGTTCTTTCTTTTTATTTTTATTTGTCAAACTAACATTGGATTGAAATTTAATTTTGGCAAGAAATGTAAAACCCTAGTTTCTCAATACACCGCAATAACTGATAACACTCAAAAATATATGTTAAGCAAAGTGTATACTGCAATAACCAAAAGTTAGAGTGGAGGAGAAAGTGAAGATTGAGGGGATTCGCAAGGGTAAGTGGCTGGCAGTGATGTTGAGTTGTTGACGTGGCAATACCCTATTAGACGAATAGAGGGGGAGACTTTGTTGAGGTTATCTGTTGTTTCACGGCTTAAATTAATGAAACCAAAAAGTTAGATTCGGGCAGTGGCGGATTCAGCCTTGAGTTTGAATATGGACTACAATACAAATATACATGAATTTATCTTTAAAAATTAAAAAAAATAAAATAAAATAAAATAACTAAGAAAAAAGTAGATATTTCAGGGGCAGACATGGCTATAGCACGATCGAGCCCTTGTCTGAATCCGCCAGTGGATTCAAGTTCTAATGGGAATTTATAAAGGTTCCAAGTTTTGAACTAAAACTACAACTGAAATTGGAGTTGTATGCACAACATTTTCCTGACAAGTCGGAGATCTTGTAATTGTGTCGTCATGGTATCAGTTTTGAGCCTATGTGTATCTAGATTGTTAATTTCGGCCAATTATAATATTAACAATGAATTTGCAAGTACAAATTTTTTTTAAAAAAAGAATTGGTAAAAAAAGACAGCTGTCTTTATAAAAATTCTGTAGAAAAAATCACTAGCATTGTTCATTAATGAGACATTTAGGCAAATAGCACCAATTGAAATAAATAATAATAATAATAACAACAAAGACTTTTTTCAGTTTTTCCTATTGGTTTTCACTCCTTTTCCAGGGGTCCAGCTGACAAAAAGATAAATTTATCCTTCTCAATTCAATGGAAATAAACCACATTATTCAACCTAGTTTCATGAATGAAAAGATTCACAAAAGACCTTTGTACTCAAGAAATACAAAAGATCCCTCTGATTCCAAATTAAAAAAAGGACCATTTACTGGCAACTCAAATTTCATTAAGGAATTATTTACTTCTGTTTCATGTGATTCTAAATGAATTCATAACAATTTCAATAAAATATTTGGGTGAAAATGGAAAATCTAATCAATAAGATAAAAATAGGAAAATCAAATTCAGATCATATAGAAATAGAAAATGAGATAAAATGAAAAACTGAAAGAGTAAAAGTCCAAACCTTTTACTATTTCTTCAGGGATGAATGACAGTAGTGAGGCTGAACTTGCCGCCAAAGCACGAACCGCACCAGGAAGAGTGGAGAAGCTACTGTAGGGGCGACCAACGAGAGAGGAAAAAAAAACTCCGGTTAAAATTGGAGAGGATAGAAGCTACAATTTTGGAGAGGAGCGCGGGATAGGGTAGTAGAGATTTAGGGGGAAGAGGGAATGCAACTGAAAGTTATAATCAATTTCATTATGGTTAATTCTATATATTAATTATTGTTATTATTAAATTCTAAAGCATCATGTGAAGATTTTATATTAGTTTCCAAGAGAGATTTATGTATGGGTATTCAGCTACCGGAAAAGGAAAAATAAAAAATAAAAATTGGACATAGTATATTTTTTAGAATATATAATAAAAAATAGAAAATTTTGAATTTATGTGTAAAATTATTTCAAGGAAGAATATATTGTTAAAAATGAGTTTTTTTAAATAAAAAAAAGGGGTTAAAAAATGGGCTCAATCTTTTTGTGATTTGGTTGTATTTACAATTCCAAGGGAGATTTGTGTATGCGTAGGTTGCATTAATCATGGAGTGGACGTCTGATGTCCATTTATGCCATTCGATTTACTCTTCATTCAATTACAAATTGACACACTATAAAAAATTAAAATTGATGTTAAGATTGAAAAATTAAAATGGACGATGACTTTAATTTTCCATGATATGTTGATTTGTAATTGAACGAACAACAAATTAAACAATAAAACTAGATAGAAATGTCAGCTCTTAATCATGACCATGCCAAAGATTCAATGAAGAAGAAAATCCATATGTTAAAATGTCATCCAACTCAATTGTGAGTAGTCGGAAATGACAAATTATGACTCTAGGTAGCAAACAGTTGGACGGGAAATTAAGGGTGTGTTCTTTTTCTCGTTTTCAGCTAGTTTTTTGTTTTCGATTTTTCAAAACGGTGAAAATGTGTTCTCTTACCCATTTTTGAAAATGCGTTTTTGAAAACACAAAAAAAAAAAAATGTGAAAAAAATGGAAAACAACCAAAACGTCATTTTGGTTGTTTTCTATACAAAACTCCATAAAATTACAAAACACAAAAAATGCCTTTTGAAACACAAAACCAGATTTCATCACTTTCTTCAAATCCATTCTCTACCTTCTCTCTCTCTTGAACGCTGACTGTGGGTGATTGACGTTGACTATGGTTGGTCGCACACTTCAACCGGCGATGAAAGAAATGTGTCGGTTCCGACACCAGCGTGGGGACGCATGATGAAAGTAGTGTTGCAACCCAAAGGAGGCAACGCTGCTGTGGTTTGGGGTCGTCTCTGCTGGCGGTCGAAGAGAGAGTAGTTGCAGTTCATCTAGGTCGCGACGCTGGTGTGGTTTGGAGTCATCTCTGTCGACGGTCGAAGAGAGAGAAGCTCCAGTTCATCGCGATGGGTGATCAACGCTGCAAATTTGTCCAGAATTTGCCTTCTCTCGAGGGGGGTTTGTTTTTTGGATTTGCGAGGCAATGGGTGTTGATGGTGGTTGTAATGGTCTGTTTGTGGTGGTAGTGGTTGATAGTGGTGGTTGTCTTTGTCAACGGTGGTTGATGGTGGTGGACTTGGCGGGAAACACATTTTCTAAAATTTCAAAGAATTTCATAGTGAACTTGTTTTCCCTTTTTTTGTTTTCAGAAACGTTTCTCAAAATGTCTAACATAACGTATTTTCAACAATTTCAAAATACACACTCAAAACACAAAATTCAAAATGAGTTCAAAATTCAAAATTAGAAAACTAAAACACGAAGTGAATACACCCTAATCATTCCTCATTCGAAATACGTGAAAACAGGAACATAGAGTGGGGTGAGAATGTAGTTGGAAAAAAAGGTAAAGTTTGAGTGCGTGCCACTAGATTGCATATTTTGAACGAGTTGTTGATTATTTTGATTTCATCCTAAAGAAGCATAGGATCTTAAGTATATTTATGCGAAAGTGATTTTTTGAAGGATATGTAATTAAAAAGTATGGAAGAATAATATATATATTTTTTAATATTTGGTCGAAAACAAGGTTTATGAAAAAAAGGATTACTTTCAAACAAGGGCTAAATCTAGAAGAGAGAGAGATAAAAATTTATGTTTACATAAATAACAATGTTTCAACCCTCACGCTTCTTCTATTTTTGCCATGCAAGCCAATATCCTTGTGTATGAAATTGAGGATTTAGTAATGTGATTGCAAATGGCATCGATCTTGGTCAAATGGAAAGATCGATGTCTCTCACTAGACAAATTGATACAATCTAACTCAAGAGTGTCAAGTTCTCTTAATAGAAGATAAACGATGAAAATCATAATACATATTATATTAAAGGCTTACAAAATTCTATAATTATTTTACAAAGAGAATTATAATTTATTTGAGAGATTTTCTTTTATTTACTAGAACTTCATCTATTAGTACTAGATTTTTCATTTTAAACACCTTTTGATAATTGAATAAACATATTTCTCTCACATCTCTCTTTATCTATTCTCTCCCATTTCTTCTATCTTCTTCCTCTCTTCTCTTCTCTTCTCCTCCCCTTCTCTTTTTCTATTCTTCTATAGTCTCGGTTCTTGTACGAGACGCCGTCATCAAAAGGCCCAACAAAACTTGAAATCCACGTGGTAATAAACTAAGAAAAACACCTTTCATTGAATCTTCTTCGATGGAAAATTTATAGAATCTTTTCAGATCCAACTTTCCATCGCTATGCCCCTCCAAAATTTTTGTGCAAATTCTTTTGCCAACCAAGGAAGTGAATGTATCTATGCCAGATTGTCCATATAAACTGGGGAATTGACTTCAAACATTGATATTGGATGTATAATTCAAGAATACAAGTGATTAAGTCAAAATATCTCGAAAATTTAAATAGTGAAATGAGAATTCTTGAATTATATATTGTTCCAATAAAGTAAGAACAGATTCATACACAATATTGAAATGTCCATTGCACAGATGCCAAAAAAAGAAAAACGAAAAAACACTCAAACAACTTCTAGGATCTCATCCAAGCCGTAGTTGTTTGTCGAAACGTTAGCATAATTCACTTTGTTAAATCGCACAACAACCGGGTAGCGAGTCTTAGGATCCTGAAAATTATCAAAACCATATGAATATCAGAAACAAATATGCTGGAAACACATGGAAATCTTCACACAATAAACTTAATTAGTCACACTCATTACCTGGTCAACAGCTACAACTGAACCAACACCCTTGTACCAGTAGGACTCCTTGCGAAGGATTCTAACCTGTATTTATATTATGTTAGAATATTTTGAATGAATATTTTGAATGATGAATGAAAAGTTAGTTACGTTTTGAATGTTCACTACATCAGTTTCATCAGTTTGAATGCATGTTGAATGCTGTCAGTTTCATCATTTTGAATGCATGTTGAATGCGTATGAAAACATCAGTAACTTCCCATTTGAAATATGTCGGTTTCACCCTATTCATTCATCCATGTTGTAACTTCCCATTTGAAATATGTCGATTTCACCCTATTCATTCATTCATGTTGTAACTCCCTATTCAATGTATTTATGAGCAAGCTCCTCCTATATTAGTATAAATAGAGGATCATTCTAGACTAGAAAAAACAACAAAAAAGAAAACACAACAAAGGAAAAAAAAAGTTCAGTTTCCTCCTCCATTTTCAGCAGCCCCGATTTTTTTTTCTTTTCTTTGCTAAAATTCTTTGAGAGATAGACACAGCTAGTTCGTAGGTCGGTAACGTTGTGCAGCGTAAACCGTCAACCGATTGTATCCTGGGAATCGAACACCGATTAACACCTCTTGCACTCCGGTGAGGCGGCGAATTCGATTTAAGGAAACCGTGTAGACACGGGCCTTCGATTTTGATTGATTTATTCTGATTCTCCAATTTTTCCCTACATATTATATTATGAACTGCTATGTTACCTTGACAAGAAAACGTTAAAAAGTCATGCAGCTATTACACACCTTGGTTCCTCTCTTGGGTCCAATAGGAGGCGGCTTGGCCGCTGGAGCAGTGGCAGCAGCGGGTGCGGCTGCCTCCTCGGCCCGTACTGTCAGCCTTGAGTTGCTGTTTTTTCTTGAAGTGAAAAGTAACACGCTGCTTCGAGGCGTGCCTGTGCCGGAGATGACATTTGGTGTCGCCAAAAATCCTGAGGCAGCAGAAGCCATGCTGCAACTTGCCATGATTTTCGTTTTTCCTCTAGAAACTCTCTGCGTGTGTGTGTCAAGAAATAAAAGAATGCAGATCAAAGATTTTGGATAAGGTGAACAAGTAATGACATAACAAAGACGATATTCAAGAATCTATAGGAGGTGTTTCAATTGCTGTAGCCAATAGTATGCTGCCATTTGTGTGCCATATCTCATCTTGTGGATAAATGACGCAACATGTCATCCATTGATGGTATTCATTTCTGTCAACCCAATAATTTATTGACATATCATTTTAAATTAACGTGTTTAATTTTTCTTTCACTGCCACTAGTATTTAGAAATAGGTGTAAACTAATGTGTCAATAAATTATTTGTGGACAGCAAGTTGGAGAGCCAATTTGGACAATAGATCTGCCATCCTTCATTTCGATTAAGTTTTAAAATTTTACTTATACGTAAATAGGTATTCATTAACCCTTGTTTGACTAAGGGATTATAAGTTGGTGGATCCCATAAAATAAAATGTGTGGTTGAAAAATAAATAGAACTCTTAAATCCAATGAAATTTGATTAGTTTAAAGTTGCAAAAAAAAAAAGAAAGAAAGAAAGAAAACTGGGGCTAAATTTTCATTTTTCTTAACAAATTTTGTCTAATTTACATTTAACATGTCATTATAATTCAAATGGTTTGGGATCTATAAAAGAATTTTAAAGTCACGACAAAGCTTGATTCACGCAGATAGAATCGAGCAAGAATAATGATACGCACTGATCACAATTTGAAGAAAAAATCGAAGAAATAACTCTCAATTTATTACCAAGAGAGACAAAACCTAATTCTCATTTTTAATTAAAATATATATATATATATATATATATATATATATATATA